AAATTGACTTGACTTACTTATCCGTGGCAAATAGCATTGGCGGTAAAAATATTTGCCTATATTAGCATATGTAACGATTGTCGGAGCCTCTGGCGAGACCCAAGGCAAAGCGGGAAAGATGAGTTCCGTTAGCGGTCAGGTGAACGTTCACCAGTGAGTGTTACTTCTGTCTCTTTGGGTGACTGCTTCCTTGGTGTCTAGCTGTTTTCGGTATAAATATTACTGGCTGGTTCATGTGAAACATAATATTCTTTAGAACTCTCTTCCGAGTAAATATAGCCAGATTGTGTTCGCTACCCCTCCGTCTTGATTGTAATTCCAAGAAAAGTTCCCAGCGTTTCAGCCACTCGGCTGGGGCGTAATCTGAACAAAAACCTGTTTATGTGAGTGCCGAAGGTCAGAATTTTGGATTAGCTCGAGTTTATACATGTTTTGTTCTCCGGCATCATTTTGAAATGTCGTGGCCGTGGTTTTTCTTGTTGTCGCTACCTCTTTCTTCCAATCTGGGATGCTTTTAGAACTTTTATTTTTAATTGTGGCTATACATAGAAGCTGGTTTTGGAAGCCTTGAAAAGAGGTGAGGTATTTCGCGAAACATTCTTTAAGTCTGACTGCAATTACTTCGTGTAAACCCTGAGCAACTCAACATCTTTGGCGATCCCGGTGCTCCGGACTTTGGCTTTATGTGGATTTTTTTTCCGTAGGTGAACGAGGGAGGGTTACAGAGTACTCGCTGGATCTTATCTGCTTCCCCGTATAGTGTTGCCGGAGACTCCGAGGAATCCATCTGAATTCTTACCGTTTTTGGGTGCATCTCCATTCCACCGTGTTACGGGCTTTTTCCTTCGTTTCAATTTATGGCTTGGGAGAACACCCATTATAGACTAGAGAACTGGATGGCACGCTTAAGTTCTCTTCCTTAGATATAATATCCAAGGCTACCTAGTTGTTATGGTATCTGTGTCCATTTATCGAAATTTTTAACAAATTGTATTTTTTTGGAAGTTTGCGCGTTTTAAATTTTCCCTTAGAATTATAGCACTACTAATCGAGTTTTGCTTCTCGTTGTCCACTGGCACGAGCTTTTGTAATGCTGCGAGGTCTTTTTCGAGATTCGGACTGCCAGAAATAGACGTAGCTAAGAGTTCCTCGTATAGCCGCTGAATGGTAATAGAAGCTGCTCCTGCAGCCTTCTCTGGCTACTTTGTTCCTTACACGACCCTTACACATACATTTTAGTTCAGTAAAATAATCACAGGCGGCTTTAATTTATTCCCTACTGTGCACGTAGCATGCATTAAACACGCATTAATTATACATTAATGAATAGTTAAAACTTTAACCACGGTTTCCGTAAGAAACTTGGGCGGGTGAACCTTTACTATTGGGCGGTCATACGCGAAACTCTTACGCACGTGGTTTGCAGGACTTAAAGTAGATCTGTAAACTATGCCATTTCAAACAAGGGTCCCAAGCATGAACTTAAAGCTCACGTCGACTCAATTTCGAACTTATCCGGTTTCAAAAGAACGATTTGGCAAGAAGTCATTATGGAAAGAGATAATATAGTGGTTGTTCAGTTCATTTCAGTTTTCATTGTGTAACGGACGAAGACGTTGAGGTTCGCACACACGTAACGGAGTAAATCACTTGTTCAGGTCTCCAGATGTAACATCTAACGGGGTTGTATGGCGCCGGAGGCACACACGAGTAGCAGTGGAGAAGAATATCAGGCCGTAACAAAAAGCGTCTACTATTGTAAGGCAAGGAGTATGTAGTAAAAGGAAAAAGGGATGTCGATATGAAATAATGCCAAGGCTATATACAATCGATTTATTTGGGGTGAGGATCGTACACAAAACATCAGATAGACGCCGGTGGAGAGTGCAGCGTTGTGGGCGACTGCGGGTGAGGGCCTTAGAGGTGTTGACGAGAGGGGACATACAGTACGATGAGGTAATTGTAACGAGGGGGGGCGAAGTCAGCGATGGGGAAGGAAGACACACCGGCAATCACTATCGACAAACGACTGCAGCATCCTCATCCGAAACCTGCGCGAAAGTGGCCTTGGCACATTCAAACGACCCTGATTATCAAGGTGTAAGTGTATTTGTGGGGAGTAGCCTACCACCTTTGAATTCCCTAGTCATCATATCAAGATCGATAGAATTAGTAAACATTCAAAGAAATTACAGTATCTAGTGAATTAACACTTAATTTGATACAATTCCATCGTTTTTAAGATTACATCGTCCCATATTCCGCTTCCTGCCGCAACATGTGTCTCTCTGGGGCGCTGTTTGCATGATTGCACAGGCCGAAATATTATAATCACCGCAGACAGGTTATTATACTGTTCCAAGACACGATTTGAAAAAAATATTTTCAAGTTTTCTTTGGGTCAGAAGAAGTTCGAAAGGTTATTCCCGAAGGTTAATTATAGTAGAAAGTTGGAAAAAGTCACTGCAAGTGAGATTAAATTCCAGGCTACGCACTATATAAACGTTTGTAATAAGTCTCCACACAACGGCCGATAATTCAAAAGAGAAAGATTTACTTTGTTTAAGTGGATCTCGTATGACAGTGCACTTGGACCCCTTACTAGTTTTTTGGTTGACATCTGCACATTTTCGATAAGGCTGTAGTTATACTGTGCCCAGTGTCTCGAAGCGTATTCATGCTACGGCCTTAGGAAAGTACCGAAGAAAACTGTAAATACACCCTTCATGGTATAAGGCATTGAAGTTGCAGCTTAAGCTGACTTACGACCTTGTAAGGCAGCCTCTATGTTGTCTGTTTTGTTGCTCTTTGGAGTGGGATTTCGCTCAGTTAGTAGAGCCACGTACCAAGAATCTGACTTTCATTTTCGAGACAGTATGGTATATTTGTTTCTGGTAAGCGGCAGAAGCAACCTCCTGAACCACTCCGCAACCGACGTATATTAACTGGGAAGTTAACTTCGACGGCAGCATTGTGTACGACCTGCCAGATTTTTAGATCATCTACATACACGGTAAAATCTAAGTCCAATTCCTGCATCCAATATTTTATGAACAAGTGAAAGGGGGTCAGGGAGAGCAGTGAAACTCTTGACACTCCACTCTCTCTGACTATGTGCGTTGATCGCTGGTGTCCTTCACAGCTGAATTAAAAACGACTGAAGAATAAATAGTCAATTTAGCTAAGAAATTTGCCCCCGATACCGATCACTCGCAACTTGTAAAAGGCACACTAGTGCGGAAGAGTATTGATGGCTGTCCTGGAATCACTCTGGGCGAAAGGCCAAGTGAACTTA